TGAAAATTGGTATGACTGCAGTTGATGCACACTTAAACCTAGGTATGCATACTTATATTTACAGCTTCATGCTTCAATATATTGTTAAAGACATATAATAATAGGGATAAGGAAGTCACAATTTGCCAGTGATTATCATGGATAAAACATGGTGCCTTTACTGCAGCTAAAGAATGGAAAGATTGCCGATACCACTGTGATAATGATAACTATTGGTAAGTGCTAACATTTACATAGCAACTTACAAGTAATTATTAATTACTCTTGCAGCCTCACTAAAAGAAAAATGGACTTCCAAGATCAAACTCTTAATAGATAAATATGCATCTCTTGAGGCAAGATCCTGCTTCTACTGATTTTAATGGGTGTTTGCACTTTCCTTCAGTCATGGCATGACTGAGCTTGTACTGTAAATGTGCATTCTGTAATTTTCAAATGCTTATAACTTCACTATTATTAAATCAAATGTATTCAGTATTTTAATATAAACTTCAAAGAACTCCTAGCTAGGCAGCAAGAATACTTGGTATTAATTAAAAATACAAGTCACAGACAAATTACAGCCAGTGAAACCATTGCAACACAAAACAAAACAGCCTCCCATTCCAGTACAGCCAGCAGTGAGCAGAAAAGAAAAAGATGATAAATCAAGATCTTCCCACTGAGTACTATAGCAAGGAAGTTTGGCACCCAGGGCAAGCCCGCAGCAGCAGCCTGCCCTCACGCTCCGTTCTGCCCCAGCTGGGCAGCGCCTGTTGGCGCCCCTTCACTTCAGCATCTGGGATTGTCATCCCACTTGCCCCTCCCCCCTTACTATGGATCCCACCTCTCAAATTCCCAATAGAAACCCTATCCCATATACTGTAGGCCTCTGAATAGTCTGATTAAAAAACTTGTTGAAGTGGCCTGTCATCCATGATAACTCATAAAAATGCACCAGACTTGACACAGGAAAGCATAATAACTTTAAAGACACCAATAAGCTTTACGATGTAAATATATATTTCTTGACCTTTTTTATAATGCAGATTATATAAATTTAAGTAACTTTTAAGAACATTAATCGTTGCTCTGATAAGCTATAGTGGCTAGCTATTAGGGTCTATTGTGTAAATAGAGATTTTTAAAATGTGGTATGTAATAAAAGTCTTATGAAAAGTACTTATGGTGCTCTGCATGCTGAGTAACTACTTTTTGCCATTAGATATATCACAGCCAAAAATACATTTTTAAAATTAGGCAGCTTTTAATTTATAAGTTTTAAAAGAAACCTCTCAGCATATACCTTTTTGTGTTCAAGTTACTTTAAAATGGACAATCAAAAAAAAAGCCACTCTGAAAATGAAAGGAATATTGGTGATATACTGACACTAGGAAGCTTCTCAATTCTCACTGAAAGGATAAAAACTGCCTTTACTGAACCACATGCTGATAAACATGCTTCAGATGTTAAAAGGAGATCATGATTCATATTTTGATCCAGGTTTTCTCTGTTTCAAAATCACAAACCCCCCAAATCTGTAATTAAAATGAAACACCACTATATATGTAGATATATAGATATACATATACATATAATATGGATATATATAGGTAGCAGATGAACACAAATTTTTTTCTTATATTTATAATTTTAAAGCAATTTGGAAGCTCACCAGTACTTCAGTCACTATAATAATGTCAATTCTAAATAGCTATACATTTTGGCATATGATTTGGGGTTTTTTTAAATGGAAAATCAGAGCTGATCTTGCCCCCTTCGCTCACCAGGATGCAGGGCCAGTCCCCTCACTCATCACCCAAAGTCCTCTGCCCTGCTGGTACCTCTCACTCCCCACCAACATCCCCCTAGAAGGCAGAGCAGGGTCAGGTGGGGAGGCTCAAGCCACCACTGGGAGCTCCATGGTGACATAGTGAGGTGCCCCTTGCCCACCTGGGAGCAGCAGGGGGCACAACTCTGTGCCACCACCCCTGCTGCTGCTGGGTGGGCACAGGGAACCTCATCATGGTGGCACATGGCTCATGAAGGCAGCACTGAACTTCCCCATCCTGCTCTGTCCTGCTGTGCTAGGTCCCACCCGCCATGGAGGCCCTGCGGGGAGGGCAGCAGGGCAGGGAGCCTGCGCCTGCAGCAGGTAGCTTACCCCCAGCCTGTGCATAAATCTGGTGGCATGTGCCCCCCATGGCCCTCCTAGGAGTTCACACTGCAGTGAGGAGCCAGGCTCTGCCCTGCCCACCAGATGAAGCACCTACAGCCCCATATGGCTCCAAACCCCATGGATCACCGCAGCTGTAACTTGTATCTGCAGAACTTGCAGCCTGTTTATGTTTACCGAATGGGAGGAGAGAAAGAAAGAAGAGGAGGTCAGTCTGGGGGGGTTTCAGCCCCTCCTAGAGGGTGGAGCAGGTGCATTGGAGCCCCTCCCCCAAAGTGAGGGGGGCTCCAATTCACTTACTCCACTCTTCAGCACCAGCGGGGGAGCCTCAAGAAAAAGCTCCTTCTGTTGCCTTTCCTCCCTCCCATTCTGAAAACAGCAGGCACTGGCAGAGAGCTTGGCCATTGCTATAGGATCCTGGCTGCAGGCTCTAAGCCCTGGCTAGATTCTCCTTCCCCCTGGAACCAACAGTGAACTTCTGTTTGGTCTGTAGTAATGTTGTAACTCAGAACACTGCAAAAATCACTCTGAGTCACAGCTGGGAGCTGCACTTCTGTCTGCACTCCGAATGGACTCTAATCTTATCAGGGCTGACTCTCAGGCTGTTATGGACACTACTGTCAACTAAAAACAGTAGTAAGTTAAAAGCAGAGGTACTGTATAGAGAAAGATGAGCTTTCCCACACCACTGACCCACTCTACATTTCTGGAAATATATTTGCTTTAGGGTCTTATGTCAAGAATAAAAAAAAAATTACATTTCTGGGTATTATAGTATTTAATATTGAAACTGCCAAATTTCCACATACTTTTCATATACTGGACATATATACATAGTTTGTTTTTGTTTCTTGGTGTCGTGCTCTGTTTGTTGTTATCTATTAATTGCATGGGATATTTCCCATTACTGAGATAGAAAGAGAGCTCATTAACTCATGGCTGCTAATTGGTACCGATGGTGTGTGTCACTAAGACAGGGACACAGCATCTGGCTGAGGAGGTAATGTGCATGTGAATGCAGCATGGCATTCTTTCGTGTTGTAATTGAGCTACACGGCCATATCCTCCTGCCTAGAATTCCCATACCATGCGACTGTGGCATGCCTCCCACTGTGTACTAGTTGCTCAAAGGATACCCACAACTATCCAGTTAAATGACTTCCTCATTTATTCATACAAATACTTGCTATGATTTCATGCACAAAACAAATGCCATGTGCAGATCTGATGGATACTTGAAGTTCTGGGTTTTGACTGCATTGGACACTGGGACTAAGACACTTAAGAGAGAGGCTATAAGAATATTCTTTGTCCAAATTCTAATAGTACTGAATTTCTGAACATGTAACTAAATAAATCTGAGTGCCTACCACGAGAATTATTCCAAGACTATTACAAAAAATAAAATATCAGATTTATTTTGAGTACACCTTTGTTCTTTTTTGGATTTAGCTTCCATAAATCTTCCACAAAATGCAGTTCCTGGTAACAAGAATAATAGAAATTGCATTGTTTTAACTTTTAGAAACTATACACAAACATTAAGTGTAGATCTCACAAAGGAACACATTGACAGAAAAGTTATGGAAAGAGTTACTCTTCCAATCAAAAAAAGAAAAAACTTCTGCCTGATCAGTTTAAATACTGACTACTTATGACAGATGCCTTGCAAACAGTCTATTGACCAGTGTTTATTTGTGGCAAGTGAATGAATAATTTGGAAAGCAATTATGTTTGAGATCACCTGTACTTAACTCACAGAGGAAAAAGAGATGTCAAATTTGTCAACTAGTTCCCTGTGAACTATTCCCTCATCTGTCATAACAATATTACTAGTTTCTTTCAGGCATTTTAGTTATTGTTCAGGAGCCTTACCCAGTTATGTTTTTTAGTGTCTGGCTGATAAAGGACTAGTACAGTAAAAGCATGTTTGATTTTACCAGGGGTTCATAAAGAGCCTAGGGAAAGGTCAGTGCTTAGGGTCAAAGGCTATAAGAATGCCACATGATTTCTCTTAATTAACGCAGGTTAGGAGAGAATCCTTAGGGAGGACTGGAAATAAGGAGGAAGCATTTATTGTTATACCAATTATAACTGCTTGTTTGAACACCTCTCTCTGTGTTTACTCCAATTTATGCAAATACATAACTTCTATGTTGGATTCATTTATTTTAATGCAAAACAACTTGGATAAATATACATTCCATATTTAAATACAGCTAAACCAAATTTGGGCAGATAGCAAGTACGTCCAGCTTTCACTAAAAACGGCAGGAGCTCAACATTTCACAAGACATAATTAGATTAATTTTAGGCAGCTTCTGGAGCTCTTAACCCCTGGATTACTAGCTTTAAGCACACTTTAGGCACCTTAAAGTTATACCACTCCAGGGCAGGTTTCTTTTTGATCCATATTATTCAGCTCATGTTTCACTACTGTGTGGCCACAGAAGCAAGGCTCTCTTTTCCTCTCTGCATTCCCAGAGGTGGAGGCCCATCTGGGCAGCCAGATCCACAAATGAATCAAATTCGGAGCCAGTTCACCCTCAATTTCCTCCCGTAGACCCCAGCAGAAATAGCAGAGTTGGGATGCTTCATTCTGCTAGGTGTCTGTACTAGAGCAGTGAAAGACGGGTGCACAAGCCATGACAGAATTTTTCTCCCGATGCAGGGACCACAGGACAACCTTCTCTGTCCAGGCCAGGTGCAGATTCCAAACTATGTCATGAATTCCTTGAGGAATGCCCCCCAGTCTTGGAGCACCAAACTATCACAGTCCACCAATAGTTTGGCCCAGTGCATTTTCCATTAAGACCACTAGGCTCACCCTCACTGAGTCTTGGGATTAGCGCTCAGGTTGGCTACAAATAACATGCAGTATTGGACAAATAACCCGCTGAAGCGCAGCCAGTCATCATCATAATTCTCTGGCAATGGGATGGGGAGGCAGGGTTCCAGCCAAGGAGGCTGATGCATGAAAACCTCACTGTGGAGCTGGTGGACCTGGAAAAAGAAGAAACCAGTTCTCTTCCAACATCTGCTGGACCTGGTCTTATAGAACTTGCCAGATGGAAGCCATCTGCACCAACTGGTCTGGCCTAAGTGGACCCAAGACTCCTGGCATTCACCTCCATGCCAGGCCCACTATGCTACTTGTCATGCTCAGGGCAACTGTCACGCCAGATTTTTGGCAGCCACATCTGGGGGTCACTTCAGGGTCAGGAGAAGCATCCAAG